CGTATTCTATAGTGTACGTGACCTCGGTCCAAATCACGTTTGTTTCAGATTCAGCCGGATAAAGCTAGTGCCTGTACTCACTAGAATTAAAAAAAAATCACCATAAACAAATTATAGATCAACGAAGCAAGAACTAGCTGAAATGAAAATAGGAAATCCCAACGTGTCTAATTCGTGAGAAAAACGGACTAAATTTAATCAGTAATTACGTGAGTAAATAGCCCTGGCCATGCCATTTTGACGTATTTTGTTTGCTTAGTGGGGAGGCATTGGTATGTTTGTAACAGAAAATAGAGGACTGTTGTCAGTACAGTCCAAAACTATTGTCAGTAAAGTATTGTAAATAAAACACCTATTGACCGGTTACCTCCGCGGCCACCATTTGGTCGTTCCGATAGGGGTTAATTTTTATTATTGTCTTTACCCCTATTAAGCGGCCACCCAAAATTTCAACACTTTGTTTTGGAAAGGGCGATGGCAGAAAAGAGTTTGAAATTGAAGGTGCATGACGAGTTATAACTCATACACACGCCTATCATGATTGTCTTGAATTGACTCCATGTTCACCAAGAAATTTATAACCCGATAGTGAAAAATTAAATATTCAAGGTACACCAACCTTTATTTAAGGGCTAGCCCCATTAAGCGGTCACCACCCATTTCCCCGAGCGTAGCCCACTGTATTACATGTAAACGAAAAATAATTGCACAGCGCGAAAAGACCTAGGTATGAGTTTAGCGTTACAGTATTACGCAGGGCATGTAGGTAGCGGTGATCGAGTAAAAGANCAGTCCAAAATTATTGTCAGTAAAATATTGTAAATAAAACACCTATTGACCGGTTACCTCCGCGGCCACCATTTGGTCGTTCCGATAAGGGTTTCATTTTTGTCTTTACCCCTATTAAGCGGCCACCCAAAATTTAAACACTTTGTTTCGGAAAGGGCGATGGCAGATAAAAGTCTGAGATTGAAGGTGCATGAGAGTGATAATTCAAACACACGTCTATCATGATTGCCTTGAATTGTCTCCATGTTCACCAAGAAATTTATAACCCGATAGTGAAAAATTAAATATTCAAGGTACACCAACCTCTATTTAAGCAGCTAGCCCCATCAAGCGGTCACCACCCATTTCCCCGAGGGTAGCCCACTGTATTACATGTAAACCAAAAATAATTGCAAAGCGCGAAAAGATCTAGGTACGAGTTTAGCGTTACAGTATTACGTAGGGCATGTAGGTAACGGTGGTCGAGTAAAAGATAACAACAGGGGCAATGGTAAACAATTCATTCTTTTTATTTCTTAATTCAATCTCTTCCTACTCAACACGATTGTGTGCTCCCAGTGGTTCAAAGCCTTACAGAGCCTTACGTATTAGGATAGAAATTGTCCTACCCCTACCCCGTTAAAATAGGATGACAGCATTGCGTGACGAACAAGGAACCGCTGTAAGCAAGGATTCAAGCCATCAAACCATGATGATCAAGCGTAATATTTTGGTGTAGTGCAAAGCAAGCATCTATCTACAAATGACTTAGCCTTTTTTGACTTAGACGCAGTGGTGATCATATGTGTCGAAAGAGGGCCAGAGATTCATGGTATTCGACCATTAAATAACTTGACAGTTGGCGATGCACATCGGACTTTATGTAAACAAAAGCAAACTTCTGCTTTATGTGCGACGAATGGTGAGAGATCCACTAGAAACACATCAAATCGGCTTTGGACCTGTCTTTTACAACAAATAAGGTTAGAACATTTCGAAATTATCGGCTCTGTGTCTTTTTCAACTTTCTATAGGTCAAGTCATGTGGCGCATGCTAAAATATACGTTTAACCCGTAAATTGAAATTTGACGACGGATGG